AGAAAATAATTGCTCTTTTCAATTCATGAATTTATTTTAATATCATTAAAATAACCTTTTAAGCCCCACTGGTTCATTATCAATTTTGATAATGATATAATGATATTTTTTTCTTTTCTGGAGGTTTTGCTTTTTCTTCCTATACATGTAATTATTTTTTCTGTTTTTTTATTTATTTTTATTTTTTCCAGTAAAATTATAAGAATAGTTGAGAAGGATTTTATTTTATTTTTTAGTAATTTACATACTATTATTTAAGTTGTTGTATATATTGTTTGAATCTTTAGTAAGTTAGTATTTGGCCAGATGTGTATTTTTTCTTTTGTAAGTGTTCATTATTGTTATTTTAATGGGACATCGTCCCAGAATAAAGCTTATTTTTTATTTCTATTTCTATAAATATATATATAATATATATATATATATATATATATATATATATATATTTTTTTTTTTTTTTTCCTTTTGGCATTGCAGACATTGTAGATCTTTTGCCGCCTTAACAAGCCTTCTCCATCACTACCTATCCTTGGACTATGTCTTACCAGTTATGAAAAATAATGATTTTGTAAGTTACAATTTGATTTCAATTACAAAATAATATTTTTGAGAATTTATCAAAATATAAAATCTGTGATTAACCAACTACCTAAATACCTTCATATAACCTTATTTGTAATAAGGTTATATATAATATTATTATACTTAATCATCTCGTACTATTCTGACGGTCCAATCATAAAATACAATTCATGCCATGATAAATGTTTCTGTATTTAACAAAATACTCGCCAATTGATTAACTGGAACATATATATTTATTTTGTGAGCATTCTATATAAAACTAAATATTACATAAGTGATGGAATATTAATTTAATGTATCACTCACTATGACAGGCATTCTTTCCCATTGATTTGAGTGGACAGTGATACTAGTGCTATATTTAGGCTAGAGCAATTTTATTGTTTAATATTCATATTTGCTAACGATAAATTAATTAATTATTTAATTATCGATTATATTCAAAATAAGTAAATAATGATGCCAGTGTTTGGTTTACTGTTTCTCCCTACAGATGATAAAATAAAAAAATAAAAAAGAAATATATATATATATATATATATATATATAAATATATTTTTTTTGGGAGGAAAGTTAATATTTCAAGGGGCTAAAATGGCAGTGCTTCAGTCTAGGGAGTTATCGTATGGCTGCCATGTCTGCATCATTACCAGCTATCCCCACGTGCCTCGAAATCCATACAAACCATTTAGAATTCCCAAATTTTAGGATAATAATGGGATGGTCAACGAGTCGGTTAATAAGACGATTGTGTTTGGACTTATTGACATAGAGAATTGGAGGGCCGAGTCAGGCTGTACATATCCTGCATAATTTATGAAGTTTTATTTTGTAAGTGGAGTTGTGTGTAACAAAGGAGGAAACTGTTGACTCATCGGGCTTCGATCAATCAGAATAGATTAAGAAATATTCCGAAATATTTTGAAGAAGATGGAACATTGTTTTGGTGTTTATGAATTTGTGGAGTCTCTTCTATTTGAATTTTGAACCTATAAAAACAACATTCAATTACTGATTTTTTCTTTTATTTCTTCTTTTATTGAACAGATCAAGATTAACAGCAATAATAACAAATGGATAAATATTTAAACAAAAAGTAAGTAAACCAACCCTCTTGGAAAGTGGATAAGAGATAAAATAGCGCGTAATATATTTAACTGCCCGGGAAGAGACGTTTGGGTAGTTTATTTGATTTAGATAGGGCACTGGATACTATTAGACCAGAGAACCATTATTATAAATAGTTGGGCCATTTAGTCCTTTTCTTCCACCATTGTACGTTACAATGCCCCCGATGTGCCCCCTTTTTGGAAGGTAATATCCACCAAATAAGAAGAACATAACTTTTAAGCTTCGATGATGGTAATCTAATAAATATAAGTTCCTAGGCTCTTAGCCATACCACATAATATTATTATATTTTAAATATTAATGCCGCAAACGTTATATGTAAAAAAAAACAACTTATTTATGTATGTGAGAACTTTTATCACGGTATTTCATTTTATAATCATTCTTATTTAATTTATTGTATTAATTAAATCAGATTAGGGAGTTGTAGAATCAATTTTTTTCTCAGATACATTTCATTAGTAACAAGCGTTTCGGGCATTTTTAGGCAATATAACTGTAATCTTAGAAGAATATATTTTTTCTCAACATATTCAAAACATTAAAAGGTTAAAATTTTTAAAACTCGTCGCTTTTTAGCTGGTAACTAATTTTTTGAAAATATTTAAATCAATACTACAAAAAAACAAAACAAAAAAAAAAACCACTAAATTAAGTAATATCAATTTTAAAGTTACCTATTCTAGACATCTTCAAACAATATTCTTAAAAAACGTATTACTTTCTGAAAAACATACTTCATTGTCGCCCAGATTCATTAAGTCCTGAAGGAGAAGAATTCTTTTTTTTTTTTATTTATATATATATTTTTTAGAAGAATTCTCTTAAAATGTTTTTGTTTGCAAAGTTAGTTATTTAGCTTTTTTAGTAACACAAGTAATATTAATATTTCCACAAACTTTTTTGAATTTTATTTTATATATCAGATTTTCTTCTGAATTGATTATATTAACGTTTTCGCAATCAAATCCGTCTTATTATTTTTTTTTTTAATTGCTAGTTTGGTCGTTTAAATTATATTTCTGTGACGCTATAACAGAAAAATTAACTTAGAAATATTTAGTTTTGTGTAGAAAAATAATCTTAATAAAATAATATTTTTTTTTCTAAAATAATTACTAATAAATGCATTGACATTAATATTTTATCATTCATAAAATTATTTTGCAAATTATACTTTAAAAAATATTTTCAAAAGAAAGCTGCAATATTTTAGATTTTTGCAGCTGTTTAGTTATAACATTTTGTTTTTCTATTTACACTGAAGTATATGCCTAATAGGTTAGAATAATAAAAATAAAAAATAACTTCTGATAATTATTTAATTGTACGTTTCGGGGAATCAGTGCCCCCCCCCCAGTGAGGAATAAACTTAAGTGTAAATAGACATTATTATATGAGGGTCAAACATTTTAAATACTATGGATTTTTAAAAAAAATATATTGAAACAATTTTTCATTCATTGAAATTAATATTTGATGAATTGATCTAGGCGATGATAAAGCTAGTCGCTGAATAAATGAACGCAAGGATGTCAAATAGGCCTTGTCTGAAACTAGGAATGGTGCCAAAATCGATTCCACTGCATTGAAGCACCAAATTCCTCCTCCTTGCTATTCTGAGATTAATTGGGGCGAAAAAGAAAAGGTAGATATTTTTCTTACTTACAGCCGAGCTTCATATTTCTCGGTAACATCCTTGTGCAAGCAAAGCATAAACTAGATTAAAAATGATTTCGAAAGTTACATAATTCAATATAAATATTTAACAAGTATAAGCTGGGGCGTTCCCTTAAAGAAATTAAACGAGCTAAGTAGTGTAGCGCATTAGCCTACGCCCTATTAAATTAAGACATAAGCCCCAACCCCAGTAGTTTGCTAATCCCCCCCCTCTCTCTCTCCAGCTGGCACCTTGAACATAAATTATATATATATATATATATATATATATATATATATATATATATATATGTATAATACGATATATAATCGTTAGAATCTAAAATAATCTAAAAATTTTATTTGATAAGCTTGGTCAATGACTATTTTTTTATATTTTATTGAATTATAATACAATCTGCCATTTGTTTGAGGGCAATAAGTATTAAACCAATATATATACTAATAATAAAAAATAAATGAGTATAAATAATAAAAAAATATAAATGATAAAAATATAAATATAAATGAGAAAAATAAATATAATGTTATGAATTCTTATTATAGCTCTGTTGTAGATGTTTAATTTAAAAAAAAATGGGTCAAAAACTTTACTTCATTTAAATGTAAACATGAAAAAAATATGACAATAAAATATTTTTTTATATGTATGTATTTTTATATGTATATTTAGTAATTTTGTTCTCAAACATTTATGAATTATTGAAAGGTTTCATGAGTTAAATATTAATTATATTAAGTTAAATATCTTATATCATATATAAATATTAATATTAATTATATTAAGTTAAATATCATATATATTATGATAAGGACTAGATAATTCTTCTTTTTTTTTTTTTTTAAGCAATATTGGTCTATATAGATACGAAGTTAAAAAGAGGATAAGACGTCAATGATACGTCATACTCTACAACAAAAGATTTCTTTGTTCTACAATTGCTCAGAGGAATGAAAGTCCGTTATTGCACTTGTGATTGTAAATCACTGACCCAAGGCTCAATAGTTCATTGATAACGGGATAGAACGCAATTTCACAGAATCATATCTAAAGCGGATACCGAAAAAAAAAAATTGACTCCAGATAATGGACGGATCATGAGAAATTTTAAAGGTCAATTAATAGAAGATAATAGCCACAAACAGTCTTGTAATATTCCTAATGATCAACAATACAAAATAAACTGAAATATTTATTCAGCTTTGAACTAAAAAATGTATCATATCTAAGTAACCCTCCCCCCATACCTCTCAATCATAGAACTTTCCGAAGCTTCCAAAGTCCTTGAAGGGCTTAATCTTCACTATAATACAGAAGTTTTTATGTCCTTCTAAAAGAAAAAAACAGGAATCCTCCTACAACACACTGTAACGAGAGTTTTCATTGTTGTTTCATTGGCGATTCAATGTCCAACATTGTGATTTAAGATTCGTCAAGAAATCATAGATATGAAAAGACATTTTTGTCGTTAACATCTATTTATGTCGCCTTTACACATAAGTGTCATGGGCATAACTTGACTTTATTAGGAACAAATTTATTTATTGTTTAAAATAAATAAATTTTAAATAATGAATTGAATAATTTATAAAGCCCTAAATATTTAACTCGTTGCAGATTTGGCCAGAATCGGGCATTCCTCTTTTAATTCCTTAACATCGTGGTCATCGTAACCCTCTAGTTCATAACCTATAATAAAATAATAGCAAATATACTTGTATTGTATTTACAGTCGTAAATGTCAATAAATGGGTAAAATGAAAGCAAGTTATGGTTCGTACGTTTTACCATGAATATACGTTCTGTTTGTAAATTTAAAGGAATTCTGTTAACGTTTACAAAGTTTGTGCGTCGTATTAGTATTGAACGCATAAGCAAACGAATATTGGGTTAGTCGGAAAATAAAGCAGGATTTCATGTTTTTTTTTTTATCGTAAAATTTTATATAACAAACTGCTAACGTGGGCGGGATTATTCCTTCATATAGGAGTTAACACCAATTAATCCTCTTGCAAACAAAAATGTATTTTATCTTTAAGTGGCATTTCACTAGTTATTGAATGCAGCGTTCAACGATGGCTTAAAAACATTCGAGAGGTGGACTTCAGCCTTGAAGAAAAATATGGATGTGGAAGTACTTCTCTTGAGGAAGATGTTCTGCAAGCTTTGGTCGAAGAAAATCGAAGGTTGACTGTTCGAGAACTTTCGGAAAAACTCTCAGTTAACACGAAGGCCATCGCAGACAACCCCAACGCAATTGGAAAGATAAAAAAATACTTTAAGCTCGGGTTCCTCGTGCATTAAACGGGCGCTAAATACATCTTCGTTACGGAGTTGGCGATGCAATTCTTTGTCAAAAAACAACAAACTTTTTCCTCCGTATTCTCCAGACCTTTGTGCGATTTTTCAAAACCTAAACATTTTATTAATTCAAAATAGTTATAAAATGCAGAATTTTTTGAAAATAGAAATTCAACGTTATATCTAGAGGATTGTATTCAAGTATGACTGTTAATTTTTTCTTTGTTTTACATATTTATTATTTTTTTTCTAAGATGATCTGTATTATTTTATTTCACTTCAAGTTAAATTCTTTAGTTTCTTTAGTTTTTTATTACAGTTTTGCCTTTGTTAAAAATCTTACTTTTTTAAATTATTATATATATTTTGTAATTGTAATGTATACATAATACGAATGTGCCTCATTCAGCTATAAAATATCCAGTGCCGTTAAGCTTGGCTAAATGTATCATTTTTTAATAAAAAGATTTAAATATTTTGAGAGAATGGATAATTTATCAACGCGTAGGCAGTATAGGGAGTTTTTTGATTAATAGAAAGAGTTCCGTATCATTTATTTTATATTAATCCACAAATGATAAACTTGATTACTTTCAGGACAATGGAATACTATCTTGCATTATTGTTTATAATGTATAGATTGATTTTTCCATTTTCTGTTTTTTAACTTATTACTTTCCTACCTATACTAGGTATCAAATTTCCGACATACGGTTTTCGACGGATACACTGTCGTTTGAAAGGTAATGAAATTACCTACAAAGATATATAAAAATCGTTCATTTTGGACTACTATTAACGAAGTTACAGCTATTCAATTTCCAATGTAAGATTACGATTTCATATCCTGGCGTCAGAAAGGGGTGAATGAGAGAATAAAGATGACTAAGTGAAAGTAAGAAAATCTGTTGCCCACATCACACAATCTTCACTATTTCCTCTACTTTTAACAGAAATTATTGTTTGACAATACCAAGCTATGGCAAAAAGTTATAGGATATTTTATATATAATATAGGAAATTTTATGATATTAGACCACATATCATACAATATAGGAAATTTTTACACTGATCTACCTTAAGCCGGTTTACATTGCTTTAGTTTATCAAATAAATCGTACTCAAATGTTTGATCAGTTTTCAGGGAAATGTTTCTAGTTCAATTCTTTTTGGTTTCTTCATGAACATATGCAAAGATATAAAAACTTTTCTGAAATAGGTAAGGAAAGTCGTGTGAGTGGACACAACAGATATATTTTTTTAATATAGTTCTCCTAGTTCTGGATGAAATCATGACATAGCGAACATGCGATAGAACAAACCGACCAGATTTGAGAGGTGGAAGCGAAGGCCGACAACGGACACATGGTGAGGCAACCGGTCCCAGAAGCCACTGGATTCCCTAATAAACCGTGGGGTCGGGAGGCGATGGGAGCCATGGCACTTCCACATTCCTCCCACCTTCCTTCCCTCTCCCCTGGCCCTCGCTCTAGCCGATAATTCTGCTCTCTCTTGTCCATTCTCAGCTCCCCTACAAAACGTCCTCGGGCTCCTTGGTATATTGGGGGGCGTTGCCCCCCTTCGAGGAAAAAAAAAATCAATTTATAATAACGCTCGCATTTACATATATCGAGCTATTTACCGATGCATGAAAAATTACCTAAGTTACTCTTCTTGAGGAGGGAATTTCGAGTGAACAGCATGATGGCCTTGGAATCGATCTGAGAGTTTAAGAGTTTTAAAATTCTATTGTTCTTGAAATCAGGTATTATTTCATCACTAATACTTACTTTTATTATTTTTAGTTCAACACTGATGTAAATATTATACATAGCATGAATGAATACATGAAACTTATGCTATTCCTACGTTAAAAAAAGAAGATACCGAAAAGATAATTTCAATTTCTTCTTCTAAGGGAAGAATATGTAGCGAAACGTGGACGCAGACATCAAGGGATGAGCAACGTCTTAAGGTTTTGGAAAACAAAAACTATTGCGTGGAATATTTGGACCGAAGAAGTATGAGTTAACCGGAGAGTTCAGACGGTCACACAACGCCAAATTGCGTGAATTGTATCCAGTTAATATTAACTTATTAATGACAGAATTATTAAAAGGTGAATATTTGCTGTGCAGACTAGTAAACTTCCGAGGAGTAAACCGAAGCGAAGGTAGGAAGATTGCTTTAAGGCCGATCCGATCTGGTTTGGACGGGGACCGTTGGAAGTGTGTAGACAGCGATTGGTTGGTGTCGGCATCGAACCTTCGGGTTCGCTAAGCCTTATTTTATTATCATTATTATAGGAGGAATATGAAAATAAAACATACTTTCTTTATTATTGAATATCGCGAGCTCCACACAAAATGTTATATATAACACATGTGAATTGATAACATATTTTAATAATTATTGTTAAACACAAAGTGAATTAAAAGATTGTTAGAAAAATCTTTAAATGCCTTGTATATATATTTAGTTACATTAGTAGAAGGTTTTTCAAGTGCACTTATCTACTTACAAATATAAATGCCGTTTCTTTGTCGACAAAGCAAAGTTTAATATTAAAGAACTGAAATCAATATGAATCAACTAATTTTCGAATATTGTCCCCTGTTCGACTTATCCTTTAAACGTCTTTGACAAAGAGTATGATTTGTGATGTTAAATGTAAGAAGAAATATACCTAAAATATCTTTTCAATAAATGGACTATTATTATTATTGTATTAAAGAACTGAAATTATCAGCAAAAAATGACTCCTCAAAATCTCGTGAAAAGAAAACAGAAATCTTCTAATTAACAATGATAGTACCGTGGTAGTTTTAATTATTTTTTATTTATTTACTGAATAATACAATCAGCCACTGTCGGAGGGCTATAAGTATTAGAGCTACATTTTCTGCTTCATACAATATATACAAATAATAGAGAAATAAACATAAATATAAAAAAGTAAATAAATAATACTGATGAAAAAATGTAAAGAAAAAATAAACGAATAAAATAAAATAAAAACTTCTAAACACATTCATACCTATAAACAATAAATGAATTCGCCCAGGAATCTCGGAGCCAGGCTTTTCCCCCCACATGTGGAAGGTAAAGCATGACTCCATGAGATCCCAGTGCCACTTTTCCAGCCAAATCACTTTTATTTTATTTGATGCATGGGCCGATTCCGAATGGAAAAGGAGTTAAGACCAATTGCTTGTCTTATTTAAGGTGGTCACGTTTTTTATTGAACAAGAAGGAATTGTTAAAAATCTGTTCAACATAATTAAATTCTAATTACACCATCGTAAAATAGGCAAAAATTTCTCTGGGAAAACAAAGATTAAATTTACTAAGGTCAATGATAAAAGGGTCTTTTAATTAATCGGAATACAAAGATATGCTGGCCGTTTATTGGTACTGTAAGCATCAGTACAGCGGTCGTTATAGACTTCCTAAAAGTCCCTTTTATCATTGACTTGAATAAATTGAATCATTGTATTCTCAAAAAAAAAAAGTTTACTTTACGATGGTGTACTTAAAATTTAATTATCTTGGACAGTTACTGAGCAATTCCTTCTTGTTCAATAAAAAACGTGACAGATTAAGAAAAACATAAAATCGATTTCACTATTATAGCTTCCAGTCAATCGATATGCCATATGGATACAAGAACAAAAGGGAATAACCTCAAAATTACAACTTAGTCACGGTAATACTCTAAGGGGGTATGAATCATACCCTACCATTTAATATGCTGCATTGGACATCAGCTATGAATCTAGCAGCTGTAAAAAAAATTAATCTTAATATTATTATTTAATATCATAAAAATTGTATATAGGTATGATTGTGTTCAGAAGTTTCTATTTGATGTTATTGTTTACTTTTTTTTCTTCTATTTACTTTCTTCATCAGTATTATTTATTTACTTTTTATATTTATATTTATTTCTCTATTATTTGTATATATTGTTTGAATGAGAACTCTTAGCCCTCCAGCAGTGGCTGATTGTATTATTATTCAATAAATAGATTTTTTAAAAATTATTTAATAGATATCCCTGTGTATAAGGAAAAAAAAATCATACCTATAAAACCAAATTTGTAGTAATGTAGGGTAGGCAAGCATTAACGAATTTTTCGACTTAGTCTTTTTTAAAAACGTCAAGCTATTGTTTTTATTTAATTCATTATATTTTTTTAAATCATGTAAATCGCATAATTACATGATGTTAAATCTTGTAAAATGGCCTGAATTCATTACTATTACGGATATCTAAATTTTTTAAATTGTACATAGGGAAAACCTTCCTCAAATCGAGGATCGCACGAAAAAAAGATATAGGTATACACCTCATATACCCAGCAGGAAACTACATAAAGGAGTGATGTAGGGGAAAAGACAGGGAAAAAAATAGTAACGGGATCGGTGAGTTGGTAGTATTTCCCTCCACTTTATGGCTCTCCGATTCTCCTTTATCCATCATGCGATCCACTCGGTTTTCACACTACTGATGAGATTTCTTTCTAGGAAATAAGAAAAAAGGTTTCTACTTTTCCACAGAGATTTGGAATAGACTAAGGCACTTTGCGATCCCTTTCAAAGTGACTACGATTTATAGAGAATTTGCAAGAATATAAATATATATTGGATTGGCAAATAAGTCCTTTCGGTTTTTCTGTTTTTTTTATGTCACTATGATACACTTCTTATCTAATGAATTAATCCCTAAGGTGGATTGTTTATCATGTTTGTAATATGTCAACAACTATATCTATTAACTCTTGTTGAAACTAGCTTAGTATTGGTGTTTGCTATAGCTCTGTGAATATGAAAGAAAATATCATTCACTATCGGCATATTTTGTTGATATTATTTTAAAAAAGGTAAGCGTGCTTCAGAAGCTCACAGAAAAAATTTCAGTTTCTGGGGATGATGCCTTAATCGAACGCACCAGTCAAAATAGGTTTGCCAAATTTTGACATCAATATTGCTCGACAGTGTGGTCGCCCAAATGAAATTGAAACGAGCAATGTTAAGGCCATCGTTGATCAAAATCCCACTCAATCAGTGCGAGAGATTGCTATGGTCCTAAATGTGTCGCACACAAGCGCAGGAAACCATTTGCACAAGCTCGGCTATGTTTGCAGGCTTAATGTTTGGGTCCATCACATGATTTTTTTTTCTCGAAAATCACAAAAAATGTTATAACATCAATACGACTTCAGTTATCTACAAGAAATTCAGCAGGAATTTAGGGCCACATAAACTACACAAAATGACATCAACAGGACATTCGTAAACAAACTAAATATGGAGATGAAAAATAAACACCTATAAGGAGTTTTTGTTTATTTATTCCTTATGTAGAAATTAAATAAAAAAAACCCATGTACATGGCTTTTAACAGCAATAATTTAGCTTTCCAATGGAAATACTAACATCAAATTTGGAGATACTGAAGAGTTATGAATGATCGGAAGGGTGTTGTGTTACACTAAGACAATGCCCCACACCTCATTGGTGACTCGCAATAAATTATTGAGCCTTAGATGGAACCTTTTGCCCCACCATCCCTATTCACCAGACCTAGCTCCAATTGACTACCACTTATTCCTGTCTCTGTCTCTGCAGAAAGAAATTCGAAAAAAGAAGAGGACATCAAAAACCATCTGGATCAGTTTTTTAACAATATACTCCAGATATTCAACGAACATGGCATTATGCAGTAAGTATAAAGATGGGGAAAAGACGTATTAAATAATGTTCAATGTATTGTAGATTAAAATAAATTTTATGTGTATAATACATTGAGTTTTATTTTACTCTGAAAAACAGAAAGGACTTATTTGTCAACTCAATATACATATATATGAAATAATTACGAGATGAAACGGACCGCAATCAAATGGTTGTCAATAAGGAAACGATGACAACTGGTTTACATTCCGATATGAAAGCGGGCGTTATTGATAATTTCTGAAATGTTACAGCGACGGAAAATCGTTTTTGTATAACATCTAACTGTATCACAGGATTTGTCAGTTTTAAAAGTGGCATTATTTAAGTTTCAGTAAATAAACATGTAATTTAATAATAAAAAAAAACAGTTTTAGATCAACAGTTAGGATAATATTTAAATTTTAATTAATTGTAAATATGATTGAATTTTTTTCAAAAATCGTAATCTAAATAGATTTAACTCGGCGCCCAAGGCCTTAAAATAGAATTTCAAGTGAAAAAAAAACAAAACAAAAACCAAGGATCATATATTGTTTTATATCAACCCATACATGTTTAAAAAAAGAAAACAAAAAGAATTATTTAATTCGAAAGAGCAACACCTCACAATAAAATTGGTTAAAACTCAATAATTGTACTATTCAAGAATGCTCACTATTTTTAAGTATTGATAAAAAATAAACTTCAGCTATTATATCGTAAATAGGCTGAGTTTCAGATATAAAATAAATATTATTTTTAAATTATATTAAAAAGAATTACGTTTAACCACCAGAAGTCAGCACATTAATTTTAATTAGCAAATTCAGGAACAGCTTCCACCGGTCAGAGAATACCTAAAAGCAAATATTTGGGGCTGCAGGGATTTTTTTTTCTTCTAAAGTCGTGCTAAGTGGCATTTGGAAGCCACGTGTCATGTAGCCATAACACCCCACCACCCCCCTCTATATTTCTGCTTAATTGA